TCAATACACAAGTCGAAGCGAATAAGCACACAGCTTCTCTCCAAATCGATCGGTCGGCCTGTCAAACTAGGCTTCTGTTCCCAGCAAAGCACGGTCCGTTTTTCCTCGTTGGTAAGGTAGTCTGGGGTTCCTGGAATCTGGCAACCTTGACCAGCCAGCCAAAATGGGTTTGGTTGTTGTGGGCTCGTCGACCAGAATGGGGCACTTCCCTTCCAAGCAAAGATGTGCTGTGCCGATACGGACGAGGCAGCTAAGGTCGTAGAATCCAAAAGAAAATAGAGTGGTAGCCGCGACAGTCTGCACCCGAGTTGCGAAGCCAAGGAGGGAGGGTATCACAGTTGAGTACGTCTCATGCTTTGTTCGCCTCCTTCTCGGCAACAAGGAGGATCAGCACTTGATATAGGCTGACCTACGCCCTTTATACCTGCCGTGTCAACGCATGCCACGCAAACGCAAGCCATACCCGCGCTGCTCGAAACTGTCTTGCTTCGTGGCTGCTTGCATGCATCCTACCTACATCCCGCTCAGTCGCCATTGTTGCAAATCCTATGTAACCCGTCCGTCCTGTTCTCCGGAATCCAACCACGTTGGACGCACCAGTCCTCGAATATGTGTTCGAGCCTGGTCTTGCGGCCTGATCTGACCCGGCACTGCCTCCGGACTCGCAACTTTCTTTAAACGTGGACGGCGGTGGGTCAATCACCAACGCGGCGACAGGCATATCCCTGGCAAGGATCAAGTGCAGAGTAGCATCTCAGCGACACGGGTCGTTTGCCACCCCGCCATAGCCTGCCATTGGACTGCAACGGACCCCTCGCGCTCATCATGGTCAGATGGCCCTGGTTCCGCTGGGCTAGTGGACCTTGGACCGAAAGGCCAGGCCATGGAGGCTTCTAGCTCAGTGGGCCAGAGTCGTTGCGCAGGGCGTTCGCTGGTCGAGCCCCGGCAACGTGCATTCTACCCGAAATACAGCCCAAGGATGAACCCCCAATGAGACAACACATCACTGGCCTCGATGCTGTTATTCGTCTCTCAGGAGTAGGCAACCATCGAGGCGTTCAAATTTTCACTTCCAGCCTGCCAATTGCCTCTGTCCGTACCATAACAGGTGAGTATATAGCAGGCTGTGCCTCATCGGTAGAATTATGGGACCAGAAGTGCCCATCACGCCTCGAAAAAACGACTCTCTCACGGCCCAACGAATCCTGTAGAGTTTCTGCCCAACCGCAGTCCCAGCACGATGCAAGCCTTGGTTGCATCGATCAAAGTCGCATCCCCACCCCCAGCAAGCTGTCGAGGATAGAGCGATGGAGTCATTCTGCACCCAATGTTGAGGAAAATGTCACCGTTGTTTCCAGCACATGCGAATGTGCATATTACAATCCGAGCACATGATGTTGAGACTTTTGAAGCCGGTTCCTACGTGTAAACCTCTTGCCTAAAATCCATCTAGACTTCCGTTAGATCAGCTGGGCAAAAAGGGAAGACAGATATCCTTATGACATGGATGTGCCCAGATCAACATGAGGTGGGGTATCCAATACGTTGCGTCAAGAGACTCGGCTTGGTTCCATCAAGTCAACGGGTAAGTCTGTAGGGAGAATGCACTCGTCAATAGATGGCAGTCAGCTTCCTAGCCGCCTTATTGTATCAACCACTATTTTGAGTTGGCTTGGCAAAGGTTCAATAATTTGATGTTCTGTTATCGATAGCTACTCAGAGCCAAATTCAAATAGCGACAATTGGTAAAATACAAGTATCTCTGCTTGCCACTCATGATGGAGACCCTGCATATGTTAGTTCCAACTCCATGCGCCACGTAGATTATCTTCCGTAAATCAGAAATGCCTCTTCCACTCCGTCTGTGTTCACGATGCGGTTGACAGCCAATCGAGTTCCTCCAATCAAATACAGCAATCCCCTCACTGGGTATCAAAATATGCGCTATATGCACGCTCCCCAGTCATCCGGATCAGTGTAAGACATTCCGAGGGAGCCAAGGCCCTGCTCTTGGGGACGAACGGCTGCGATCAACGGCTCGGGAGATGAGCTGCAGAAGTATGCCGCGCTCAGAGAGCCAGCATAGAGACTGTGTCACTTGATCGCCAGCGAATTTCGTTATCAGATCATCGCACTAATTGAGGTGCTGACGCCTCAAGTAGGGTTTTCGCGGCGGCGATCTCATCGGCATCATAGCCCTGCCAGAGCTTCTCCTTCGCATTATATCTCCGTACAATCTCTCCCAACTTCGCTGTTGCTACTTGATTTAGCTTCTCGACTTGCTTTTGGTCGGGAAGTTTCGGCTCGTCAGCGTCTTGCTTCTTGCTCTTCCCAGCTTGGCTCAGTACTTGGTCGGTCACCTTGGACAGGGTCAGCATTTTCAAGTCTGAATTAAGGGAGGAAGTGGTGTCACACCTTCTTCAGTCCGTAATACCCTCGTAGATAGTCATCGCACAGCTCGATGCTACGGCAGAAGCGCTTCAAGGCCTCGGCAAGGTGCCTATTAGAGGAATCGGTCTCTGAGTTGGCTGCCATCAGTAGGATCTCACCCAGCCTTGCGTGTACCTGTAGTAAAATTAGCTCCCACGTCTTTTTTCAACATAATATAATGGCGTAGCATACATTCCAGGCATTTGGAACCAGGACGAGCACTTCCTCCAAAGAAAAAATAGCCTGTGAGTAGAGCCCTTGTGTGAGGTACAAGTCTGACAGCTCGGCCCATCCCTCAGCGTCGGTTGGGGTAAAATCGAGCAGGGCTGTCAGAGATGCGATTGCTTCTGGGATACTTCCCATCGAGCGGAGTAATGCGACTTTTCGTTTTGCGATAGGCTTGTCGACTAATTAGTCCAGCATCATCATATTGGTCATCGCTATACGCACAATGTTGGATGAGTTCTCCTTAAGAATGCTGTCGTATTCTCCCAGTACAGCCTGCAGCTGATCTCTGCTCTCTGCTTCGGCTTCCTTCACAAGCCCCTGGAGCGCCATGATCCACTCATTCTTCTCGCCAAACCGAAGCACAAGTCTGTCCAAGCACTCGTGCGCTGACTGGTCGTTCTTCGTCCGCAGACAAGCCACCAAAAGGTTCGTGTATATGGTCCAGAGGTCTGCGGTTTCGGCGGCCGTGAAAAGGGAGACGAGCGGCGACGAGGAAATGGCCTTTGGGTTGTTCCGGAGGATTTCAGGTGCTTGTTGCGCAAGCTGGAGAGCTTCGGCTGGTGACAGGTTGGCCTGAGGCCCCAGTAGAGAGGGCGCCATGATTACGTTTGGAGAAATAGTTTGGATTAAAAATAAGAAGAAGGTAAATCAGATATTATCAGTACGCTCGAAGTAATTCGGTGGATTGTGGACAGAATCAAGCTCGACTGTTTGAACTCGTGAAGATGCGGTGCTGCGGGAGCTTAAAGTCAATGAACAGCTCTCAATTCCGACAGGAGCAGTGGGGCAATTGAACGCGAAGTGATTGGTCTGCATCTACCAATCTCGGAAAATTATACCCTCCGGTCCCGACCTGGCCGCTGTGCCCCGCGACACGGTCTTCAAAAAATTTCTGGCTCAAAATTTATTTCTTCTCTTCCTCCTCCTCATCTCGAGCGCACTCCTTCTCAGCAATCGGGTCCATGATTGACTAGCAGCCATCATGTCTACAGTGCTAACTGAAGATGCTGGGAGTCAAATGACTCCCCCAATCGAGGGCGTCGCAGAGCTAAATATCTCGTCACCGCCGACAGGAGAAGAAGGCGATGTGCCCTCGCACAGGTCTCATGATCCTGCGACGAACGCAAAGCGAACTGATCCATTCCAGTTTGGTAGTCGCTATCTGGAGGCGGGAGACAATGTATTCGAGTACAATGCCTGGGACCACGTCGAGACTGACGATGCGTACAAGGAGTACGCTCAACGTCAGTTTGAGATGCAGCGTCAGTCTCCCGTCTCTGACTTTGACAAGAGTAAGTTTCAACACTTTCTTTCCCACTCCCCAACCTTTGTTTTCTGGAACCCGCCTACTGGGCTCTCCATGTGATGTGATGATTCTCCAACCAAAATGCATAGTTCATCTGATACTACTGATGACAACCTAGCCTTCAAAGTCTTTCGCTCCCATCTGATCTATCACTCGAATCTTCTTTACTCTAAATTGCACACGCGCCGATATCCAGACGCTAACATGGTATTCAACAGACAGGTTCAACTCAAACCCTGCCAAGTGGTGGAATTTGTTCTACAAGAACAATACTGCAAACTTCTTTAAGAACCGCAAGTGGTTGCAACAGGAGTTCCCCGTCTTAGCAGAAGTCACAAAAGAAGATGCTTCACCAACTGTAATCCTAGAGATTGGAGCTGGGGCTGGTAACACTGCTTTCCCCATCTTGGCCAACAACCACAATCCACACCTGAAAATCCACGCATGTGACTTCTCAAAAGAGGCTGTAGAAGTTATGCGCAAACAAGAAGAGTATGACACTAAACACATCCAGGCCGATGTGTGGGATGCTGCGGGTGAAGAGCTTCCCCCTGGTCTGGAAGAAGGCTCCGTAGACATTGCTATCATGATCTTCATCTTCTCGGCCTTGTCGCCCACCGAGTGGGCAAAGGCCGTGGCGAATGTGCACAGACTATTGAAACCCGGCGGGCTGGTCTGCTTCCGAGACTATGGAAGAGGTGATCTTGCTCAGGTCCGCTTCCGTAAGGGACGGTACCTTGAGGAGAATTTCTACATTAGAGGCGACGGCACCCGCGTCTACTTTTTTGACAAGGATGAGCTTGCCGACATCTGGGAGGGGAAGGACAACACAGCCGATGATGCACCCAAGTTTGAGGTCGAAAACCTGGGCATTGACAACCGCTTGCTTATAAACCGGGCGCAGAAGTCGAAGATGTACCGGTGCTGGTTACAGGGTCGTTTTAGGAAGAAGTAGCGAGCTATATCTCAAAATAAAATAAAAAGAAGTGAAATCCAAAATCGAATGGCCAGGGTCTATGTCTAATTCAAATTCAAATCATGCCCTCGCTGGGTACAGAAGATTGCGTCGGAGTGCCGCTCTCTCGTCCTCCTCAAACCCAATGAAATCGAGATATCCGTTCAATCCGCCGTATTGCTGATCTAGATGCCTGATGATCCCTGAGATCATATTCTTGTCGGTTCCCGCCCATTCCTCGGTGAGTCCTATTTCCCCTATCTCAGCCAGCCTCACTTCTCGCTCGTGAGCAATTGCCTCATCCGTGAGAAAGTAGTCATATTCGATGGCTTCAATCGGAATACCCAGTATCAGCAGCACCAAAGCTGCGATGAGTCCTTCATAGTCCTAAGTCAGCTTGACCAGTCAGGTGTTCAGCTTGGTCTTTAACCATGGTCTCACCTGTACGGTCCTTGCCGTGTGTACAATGAACCACGCTCGGTAATGTACTCTGTGTCGCATACAAGGATAGAACTTCGCATATCTCGTAACCAGATTGGTCCAGCGTATCCAAGCCAAGGCCTAGGAGTCCCTTGGGTAACATCACCTCTCGGCCGATGACACTGATGGCTTCCATGCGATATCCAGTCGCATACAAACCGACGCAGTTACTAAGATTCCATCCATGCACAATCAGTGGTGGTCAGAAAGACACATGGCAGAGACGGCAAGCTTACAAGAACCCCCACCAGGACAACTGGCGCACCAGATGTCTCTCGAGCTGGCGCCCTGCAATTTTGATCTTGTGGTATTCCACACCGGGGATCTGGATGGGGTCTGGACCATCGCTGAGCGACCGGTAATGAGCCTCTAGCTGAGCCTTGTGCTTCTCTGCTTCCCTCAGGTGCTCCGTGCTGTTCCAGTTAGCGAAGCTAAGTTTCGAAGGAAGGGGTGTGTTACTCAGTGCGCAGATCTATGACAGTTTTGATGCCCAGGTCGCCAGTCATAATCTTTTTATCCTGGGCAGTTGCTTCGTCTATAGGAGCATACTCTGTAAGCTTAATCAAGTATTAAAAGAAGGTTAACTTATGGCCTCACCTAGTCTAGCGGAGCGGAACACCAAGCCTTCCTTAACACGTCTGCTCTGCAGGTTAGCATCTCCAAGCCCAATCTAATGCGACATCCATTTAGGGGTCAAAAAGTCCTTACCTCTCGCCTAGAAACGTGTTGACGATGTAGCCAACATCTCGAAAGTTGGAAACCTTCCGAAGGTTTACCAACTGGTTCGCCATGGTAAAAGGGGTAGAGGATGGCTATTAAGTGAGATGGCGTTGAACTTTCACATGTCTAGAGAGCATGGCGTACTCGAACTGCCGTGTTGATGTTTAGGGTAGCTCGACTCCAGGGGTCTGCCAGGGATTCGGGCCCCAAATCCTGTCACCCAGCCACTTGGGCTCATAGCATCTGCTCACCATGAATCAATTCTTATTTATGATTCCCAGAAATGACCAGTCATAGCTACTACATAATCATAAAACAGGGATCATTCGTTCCCGGGGATCCAGTTTTCAGGTGATGACCGTATGCATGTAGCTGTAGGTAAGGACTGGCAAGTGGGTGACATTGGAAATGGCACACATAAGCAGTTCCTTAGCACATACTTGATTTACCATTATCTTTCATAGCAGGTAGGTAGCTATAGAAATACTGAAATAAGATTAAAGGAATAGAATATTAAGACCTGAATATTAATATTCTCTGATGACTATTCAGAATAACCTACTTATTTAGATATTTGAATGTTTATTCGGTGATTGTTTAGGTCTTCATTTGGGTGTCACCCACTTAACTGGGTAGCACTCAAGGGTAGCACCCAAGGAAAGCGTATGCCGGATCAGCAGATGAGAGCCCCAAATAGCATTCCCGCCATCACATTGCAGCACAGCCGGAGGCTGGAATACGCCATGCCCCTCCGCGCACCAGGGCCGGGTCTCTTTCGACTGAAGATCACAATCCAGTCGTGGAACAGGGATTGCTGATGCAATTGACGGCAGTTATTGGCTAGCCTCTGCGGGGGAGACGATGCAGCCTACGCCATCTGCAAAAAGCGAGCTGCGAGATGCTGCACTGAAAGTCAGCGCGCGGGATCCGTTGGGCGACCGAAGGTACCGGGCTAAAGTTAGTGCTAGCGCTACTGATAGCAGGTACCCCATCATCGAGGCGGTGGTACCGGCACTTACGTGGTGTCAGGCCACCCGAGGCTGTACCAGCGCTGGAATTGCTGGTTTCCCACTATTGCCCAGCTGAGCGAAGTGTCACTGGCCCCGCCATCTTAAGTACCTGTAGTGCCGGTTCGCCTGGAAGCACGTTCCTTCCTGGCGTCACCCACCACGATCTTCATGACGTCAGTGTCTGAAACCCTTCTGCCGCTTCAAGCTCCAAGCCTCTCGGCGGCGACGCACTGGCGTGGTCTTGGCTGCCGGCTTTCAAGAGGGAAGAACCCTGGCGGCCTGAGTAGCTCATGCGCTTCGTCGAGCTAGCCTAGCATGATCCATTCTATCATAGTCTGACCTCGTCATCATCTTCAGACATTCGTTATATCAACTCCGTCCTCATCCGCCAACCCTCCACCTCTCCAGCCGTCCTCAATCCCGGTATCGTGTCTATTCCCTTGAACCCTAGGGCCCGGCAGCAAACATTCGTATTTTCTACATAGATACCACATAATCACCCAAATCCGGTCAATCCTACAGCTGGTTCCAGGGCTGGCCCACCTCGGAAACCCAGGCGCCATCGCGATTGGGCTGATATTCACAACGTCTGCCTTAGCACCTATCAGCTATCAGCCTTAATGCCATTGAATACGAGCTACGTCGCGACCATTTAAAATCAGAATCATGGCTGAAGCCACGCATCAGGCCCCTCTCAGTATGCTACTTCTAATCTCTGGGCCCATCTCTGCTGAGCGCCGCGACTCTCAGCCCAATACCATGCTAACATATGAATCACCTTGCATCAGCAGCCAACAACTCCGGTAGGCTTAAGTACGCCGATCCTCGAACGTTACCGAGCTTCCCTTCCAGCGGCCTGAGACCGGACGGCGCAGCAGCCAGCGCCGCTGCGACACTGGGTTGGAATAACCAAAAATCCATCGAACCGTGGAAACCAGAGAAGCTGTCTTCTGCATCTGCAGCTGCTGTTCTGGCGAAGGACTATAAGATGGCGCCTCAGTGGGAACCTTCCTCGAACTCCGCGGGTCACAAGGCCGCTCTTCTTGCCGTGGACTCGGCGAATTCTGCATTCAAACAGCATTCGCCTACCAAAGATCAACATGAAGGCTGGGGTAACTCTGCTGCCTCGCAGGCCTTCAATGCAAACCGACCCTCCTCCCCCAAGAAGAGCGACCTGTCTCATGGCAGCTCAGCCGCCACTCAAGCCTTCAATGCTAGTCGCACCCAGTCGCTGCGCAATGTCGAACAGCCCACATCCCCGCCAGCCGACCGTTCTCTGATCGCTGCTAAAGGCGCCATGTCATTTCGACGGCCACGCGCATCCTCAACACCTACCACACCTCGAACACACGAACCGCACTTGCAGGACAGCGCTGCAACGAGCGCATTGAATGGAGCGTCAGTGGCCCATAGAGCCGCTCTGAAGGCGCATGCTTCTCCACACGACGCAGGGGCTGTTCCTATTACTACGATGACTCGGAATATGTTCACATCAAATCCTATGGTGAAGCCCGAGGTTGACGAACGAACGAATAACGAAAGGCTGCACCAGTCAGCTGTGGAAATGGCGAGGAAGATGTATAGCAACCAGCAGAAGGCGGGAGGGTCCCCTCTGCTAGGTTCTGAAGACAATACAGAGAAGCCTTCACAGTCAGCGGCTGGGTATGTTAACCTGCAAGATGCGGCATACAAACAGGCGCAAGAACGGTTGGCCAAATTGCAAGACGAGCACGAAAAGTACTATGGAGGCTCAAAGCCACGCCGCCGATTCACTGTTTCCAGTAGGCTGCGACGAAAGAGCTCAGATGACGATTTGATCAACGACCGCGAACAATCAGAGAAAATCCGCCAACAGATGTCGATGTTCTCCAATAAGCTGTCAGAAGTTGACCAGACGAAGCGGAAGCAGGAACATGATGCTCTCATGGCAGCCGCGCAACGAAACGTGAAAGCCCGTTTGCATGGAATGGATGAAAAGGTCTATCATGAAACTGGAAAGGTCAACCCGTCACTTCTGAGCGATTGGGAGCTCAAGGCGCAGCAAGCAGCTCAGTCGCGCCATGAGGGACGCAACGAAAATAAGGGGAAGCTTGATTTGGGAGGAGGCATGTACATGGATCCAAATGATGTTGATGCCATTGCTGCAAAGAGGATGCAGCCCCTTCTCGATGATATCAGTAAGAAGGCTGAGGCCGAACGCGAGCGACTGGCAGCATTGAAACTTGAAGAAGAAGCCCGAAAAGCAGAATTGGAGCAGCAAAAAGCTCGCGAGAAGGAGATTAAAGAAGCCAGCAGGAAAGCGCGAGGTAAGAATTTGTAACTTGATCAGAAGCTAGTCTCCCATATAAACTAATACCTTGGATATAGATGATGAGAAGCAGGAACAGAAGGCAAAGAAACAACAAGAGAAGGATGTCGAGAGGGCACGAAAGAACCAGGAAAAGGCCGAGAAGTCCGAGCACAAGCGCACAGCGAAGGAAGAGAAGCGCAAGTCGAAACACGATTCTGCCAAGAGCGGCATTGATGGAAGTGCCGCTGATGAAGATACTGGACCTGCTAGACCAGCAACGGGCGAAGGCTCACGCGCTTTTCCTGCGGTAGTGACGACGAATGTTGCTAGTGACGCCGGCCAGACCGGCAACACAGGCTTTGACAGCAACCCGAATTCTCCCAGAGATGAGCCCATGTCACCTACGTCGAAGGTGAAGGACTGGATCAAGAATCGATTTTCTAGAGGCAAATCTGTGAGCGAACAGGACGACCCAAAGAAGAAGAGGAGCTCGTTCATAGGTGGTGTTTCGCTTAAGAGGTCCGAGGCAAACGGAAGCACCACGAGCCTAGATCGTCGCGCCTCAAGCTTGAAGGATGTGGCCCTTGCTGGAAAGGGTCAGGATGAAGGCGTCCATGACAGATCAGGGTTGGTCGACTCAGAGGGAGTGAGTCCTGTAAGCTCACCGGACGATGACGCAAGGCCAACTACGTATGAAGTTGACGCCGAATCATTTTCGATGCGCCCCCCTAGGCCGATTGGAGATACCGTTCACCGTTCGAGCGCGAGTCCTACCCGCGATTCTCGATTCAAAGAAGAGATGGACTAATGATTTGATGATGGGTTCCTTTTGTTTTACAAGCACACGACTTAGGAGTAAGGTGCCGGGAATATGGTTAATTGACTTATAGTTTCATGTATAATTTTCTTGGGCATCTCACGCGATTGTTTCTTGGATATGATGGATGTTGTGGAATACGAGTGAAGATATATTTGTGACAATTTCATGGTATCAACGAATAGTAATATGATTAACCCCCACCCAGGTCATTCTCATGTCATGAATAAGGAACACAAATTTGCTTTAAAGCTCTTAATGCACTGTGAAGAGAGAATTTACGTTTCGTTCTGTATAAAATGCAATCTTTCCCAAAAATAAAACATGTGAAATAAAAGGAATCCCGGTCGTTAAAATGAAGTTAGAGGGATGCTTCAGAGTGTGTAAATCTGCATAGCACTTTCCTTCTATTGTCTCAATGGCATGAAACAAGCATTCTTTTTTATACATCTAGAACATGGTTGATTTCCCAGCGTAGACTTAGAAATGAATAAGACGACGGCCGCGAGTGTACGCGGGCTGTGGCTGCTGCTGCATGGGGAGGGACTCGTCGCTGACGGGGTCGCCCTGGACGTTGTCGCGCAGGGACGGCTTGGGGAAGCGCTGCGAGTAGGACCTCGTCTTGGTGGCCGGGTAGAGGTCGACGGCGAAGGAGAGGACGTAGCCCGTGAAGATGAAGGCGATGACCCACTCGAAGTAGGCTGCGATGCCCTGGTGCTTGCGGAAGGTGAGGACGCCGAAGGCGATGCCCAGGGCGATCTCGACGAGGATGAAGGTGAGCTTGATCCAGAAGGAGATGCGGAGGACGCGGTGCTCTCGGTTCTCTGTTTATTGGTTAGATGATCAGATGTTCTTTTGGAAAAACGAGAAGGTGGACGTACTGATACCAAGGCGTTGATATTCCCAGCAGATGAAGATGGCGGAGATGACATAGCCTCCCATGAACAGAAGCAGGAAGACATCATGCAAGGTCGGATGACGCACGGTGTCGAAGATACTGAGGCAGATGAGGCCGACGGTCCCGACGACGGCGAAGATGATTGACAGGCCGAACAGGATCTTCTCCCCGATGGACTGGTTCGGGACGAGGCGGCCGCGGTGTCGCAGCCAGCGCTCGGTCAGGAACGAGATGTCGAGGGTGGCGGTGACGACGCAGCTGCCGGCGATGAAGAGGGGCTTGAGCTCGTAGGCGCCGATGGTGCTGATGTAGGGCAGCGTCATGCCGGGCTTCATGGACGAGTAGTGCTGCTTGTTGGTGTCGACGACCCAGTAGAGGAGCATGCCCAGCAGCATGCCCAGCCATACGAGGCTGGAGAAGACTGGGAACCACTATCGTTGCACTTGTCAGTTTGGATTATCAGATTGCTGGAGGGTTTGTGTTCAACTTACCCAGTATGAGAAACAGCTTCTCAAAGCCATGGTGATCTTGGCTTCCTAAATTGAGTGGTTGGGGAAGGGTGGCAGGTGAAACGGGAGAGGGAACCGCCAAGTGAAGACATCCAGGAACAGATACGGAGCAGAGGTGTTGAGATCTAGCCCCGAGACTATATGCAAACGGGATGGATGAGATGGGAGCCCATCGGGGGTTACGTTGGGTATGATGCCATGGCCTCTAGTCCTGGTACCCTGCCGTGTGAATACAGGCACGCACTACAACGAGAACAACTGGCGGACTGGCATAAGGGTCTGCGCGGTTCCTTGGATGCACCAGTGAGATCATCGACGGGGGAAGCATCCACCTTGGTGTAAGTCAAGGGTTTGTTAGGTATGTATTCATCCATCAGGTTGCGGCAGAGTTGGAGATGGACTAGCCCATTGTCCATGACGTCAATGGTGATCGTCATTGTGGGCTCCCTCTTTCCGTCCCACAACCTACAGCTGCAGCCATCAAGCATCCTCGACACTGGATTGGACCACGCGGAAGATAAGCATTTTCTCTAGAAAAAAAAAATCCCGCCGCCCTTTCAGTACCGAGATAATTACTATTATTATATGTCTTGCGGTTATGATGTTACTGTTCTGGACCACTAACACATGTGTAACCCCTGTTGAACCCTAGACTCTGTGCCTTTGCTCTTCTATACAACTAGATAGTTCGTGCATTGGCTAAACTGCTGTTACTTTGGAAACCAAAATTAATTTATTCCCTTCATTAATTTCAGTCCAAGTGACTTTTGATTGTGATAACTATGAATGATCTGATAGCGAGGGTTAGACTCATATGCCGGTGCCTACCTACCTAGGTAGGTAATACTCCCTTGATACTCAAATACCTCTCTTAAGATATTTGTCTGTAGTCTACAACATATCAGTGAAAATAAGTGGTTGGTATAAGCAGTTCTAATAGAGAAAGGCTCTAATTTGATGTATGCACAATGAACTTTTTATTTCTCAAGATAATTAACACAAGCTAATTAGATGATTCTTTGGCCTCCTCGAACTAAGAGTTTAGCCCAAGAAAATCCAGTAGATCAAAGTGCCTGTTCAATTCTCTTCATGGAATGACATCTTCCTATCCAAATCTTCAACCTCTTCATCTCACACGATCTCATCCGAGGCCAACGCGCTCTCCATCAGCCTGCGAGTATGAATTCTGACCGAGCACAAGGCTTTTGTCGTCTACTGGGCACGGTCACCATGATCCTCGACCTTGATCCTGACCTTCTCCTTATCACTATCATCGTCATGACCCTTATGGTGATGGCGATGGTGATCATGGTGCTTGTGGTGAGGGCAGAAGCGGCCATGATCATGGTGATGGCGGTGGTGGTCACGATCCTTGTTATCCTTGTGGTGATAGATGCGGTGGATATGATCCTTGAAATCAGGGCGGTGGTGGTGACAATGCTTATCATGATGATGGTGATCCTTGTGATGATGAGGGTGGTGATGACCCTTGTGATGATGAGGGTGGTGATGACCCTTGTGCTTGAACTTGTTCTTGATATCCTCAATAATCTTCAGCTCCTTCTCCTTGGGCTCCTTGTGGTAATCCTCGACCCGGAAATCCTCTCCTGTGATATAAGGAGTGCTGACGAAGCGGGCAAAGGCACTGCGGATGCTGTGGGGCGTGCTTCCATCTGCGGCACCCTCCTTCCTGAAGATTTCAACCTGAATCTTCTCACGCTGCAGGCGGCGACCCAGCTCGTAAACGAATGCCTAGTTTTCGTTGTTAGCATTACCCGTGCCTAGGAGGTGATGCCTGGCAAGAAGGGGAAGAAGATTAACTTACGTAGTCGGCGGCACGCAGACTGTTGACAGCAGTGACGATGAAGTAAGCGGTTCTGCCTTCAATGTGCTCGAGCTTCCTGCTGATCTCCTCAAGGAGCCTGATCAGGGCTTCGGCGTACTAAAATTGGAGAGACAGTCAGCTTTCAATGTCTTCTTACAGCGATGGTCTTTGGAACATCTCCCGAAAAGCGATTGATAACTTACACGGCAATAGCAACGGGCAATATGGGCTTCCTCCTCTTCGGAGAAGCACTTGTCAAGGCTGGACTTGTCAATCGCCCTATCGAAGAGGTCGAGCTTCCACTCAAGCTCATAGAGAGCCTTGCGGACTGGCTCCCAGCATTCGCGATCGCCGTTGCCGCACTTGATGTCCTTGACAAAGTCAAAGAGGTGGTCGGCCTTGTGAGCCAGGTGATGGAGCCTCTCGCAAATACACTTGGCGGTCAGGTCCTTGTGCTTCTTCTCCTTCTCATGTTCATGCTTGTAGTGGATTTCGTGCTTATTCTTGTCATGGCCATGCTTGCGGCCGAGATCGGTAGGATCATTCAGATAGTAAATCTTGTGGTCCTGCTTTTTGTCACAAGGTTTGGGATCATGCTTTTTGTGACAGGGCTTGAGGGGATCCTCCTTTTTGTCACAAGGCTTGAGATCATACTTTTTGTAACAAGTCTTGGGATCATCCTCCTTTTTGTCACAAGGCTTGAGATCATACTTTTTGTAACAAGGCTTGGGATCATCCTTTTTGTCACAAGGCTTGAAGGGATCAGGCTTGTCGCAAGGCTTGTGCTGATCCTGCTTGCCACACTTGGGACAAAGCTTGCGGTCAAGTTTGGTGGGGTCGAACTTCTGCTGCTTAACGCTGTCGAAACGGGCTGGCGTGAGTTTCTTGATCTTTGCGATTGCGGGCTTTTCGTCCTTAATTTCCCTGTCTTCAAGTTTTGGGATCCTATGGGGAGTTACAGCGAGCTCTTCATGAATCCTCTCGAAACTATTGATGAACTCGTTGGGGTCGTAAACCTCCTGGGACACTCCGGTAAGTCTACTATAAGCCTCTTTGGACACTCCGGCAAGGGTAAAAGGGAACGCTGCCAGAGCGGCCGTTGTAAACGCGAGCAACCGCATGATGGGCACGACCAACAACGAGCGAGGCAGTACTCAAAGAAGGAATGAGAAGGTGGGTAGGAAGGAAACTCCCAATCTATGGTGATTGATGGGAAGCAAACAGAGAATTGATGGCCAGCCATCAGGATCCTTAAATAGCCGTCCGAAGGCCTGATGAGACTATTTGCTGATCTCGTGAATCGCGCGTTGATAACGCGGTTTAGTAAATGTTATTATGCCTTCCCAAAGCCAATTGCGAAGTGAAGGAGTCGAGAACAGTTGTAATCGAGGAAGCCGCATCATAATTTCGTATTCGAACAAGCCTGAAGATGAAGCCATCTCGAACAACCATCCTGAATCAGGGGGTAGTTCGAAGCCAGACTCCAGCTAAGTATGCAGGATGAGGGGGGTCACTGATATTAGGATTGAAATTTGGAACATGTGTATCATAATGCCGCATCAAGTGAAGTAGCTCATCGAATTGAGGTTCGCACTAGAGAACTTTCCAGGTTGTTGTTATAGGATATGGTCCTCGTATTGAGATCAACATGGCCGGTGCTTTGCCAATGAGATGGCGGGCAGTTGACGCGAGGCCATCTGCATAAACAACTCGGCAACCGTGTTTCTGCAGAGCGCGTTTCCATTGTCCATCTGTGTCTTCCTTTGGCTTAGAAGGAAAGTTTATAGGAGAAAGACGGCTTGAAGGAGGTGAGGTTATCGATAAGGATCTTCCAAGCCCCACTCCTTGGTGTTTTGTCAACCAGGAGCTGTTGGAAAGGGAAAGCAATGGAAATCATAAAGAGATACTGCAAAATAGATCTCGATATTCAAGTCCATGGAAAATAGATTGTAAAAGTGGCCTTTAAAAACTCCATGTGCCATATCTTGGGCGAAATTGGATGTGTCGTTGTAGATTTAGCACGTGAGGAATAGCCGTCCATCCACCAGAATTCACATGATAGGCCGTCTTTAGCCCTTCTTACATCTCGCATCTGTCGGTGCCTGCTCGTGCACTTTAGCCTTCCCAAATACATACAAAATCCGTCAATCGACACATCCAGACCGACCAAACTACAACGCAGATATCGCCCGCCTCTAATTGAGCCCAGCCACTCCGCGAGTCCGTTGTTTGCCGCCTTGCGAGAGCTGATTCTGCGAGACGGCCTCTGCTTCCTGGTCCGCCAACCACCTCCCCTCCAACCATGTCTCTCTCACCCGTCGTCACACTGCAACAGCCACAGACCGTTCGATCTGTCTCGTCACCTCTCAAGACACTCGCATCCGGACAGACTTCCTCCAATGGCACTCCCAGGCCCGCGGCTCAGCCCGCCCCAAAGGCGGTCGGCCCCGCCACCCTCGATGTCGCCGAGCAGATGAACGAGGAAGAGAAACGGAAATACGTCAAAGGCAAGCCATGCCGACTGCAACCCGACAAGACAAATATCAACTTCATTGCTAACTTTCGAACTCCTATACAGGCAAGAAGCTCGGTGAAGGTACCTACGCCATAGTCTTCCTGGGCCACCTCCGCGCGAACCCCGCCGAGCTCGTCGCCATCAAGAAAATCAAGATGCAGAAGGAGTACACAGAGGGCATGCCCCCCGACGCCGTCCGCGAGCTGAAGCACCTCCAGGAGCTGCACCACCCCAACATCATCTCCCTCCAGTCCGTCTTCTCCTCCAAGGACCAGAACGTCAACCTGGTCCTCGAGTACCTGCCCCTCGGCGACCTGGAGATGCTCATCCGCGACACCACCAACGTGCACTACGGAGCCGCCGACATCAAGGCCTGGATGGGCATGCTCGTCCGCGCCATCTGGTTCTGCCACGAGAACTTCGTCCTGCACCGCGACATCAAGCCCAACAACCTGCTCATCGCCGCCGACGGCGAGGTCAAGCTCGCCGATTTCGGTCTCGCCCGCGGCTTCGGCGACATCCACTCGTACATGACCTCCAACGTAATCACCCGCTGGTACCGCCCCCCCGAGCTGCTCTTCGGCGCCAAGCACTACGGCGGCGCCGTCGACATCTGGTCCGTGGGGACCGTCTTCGCCGAGCTCATCAAGCGCGCCCCCTTCATGCCCGGCAACAACGAGCTCGACCAGATCAAGCTCATCTGCGACGCCATCGGCACGCCCACGGAGGACAACTGGCCCGGCGTCACCACCCTGCCCGAGTACACCGTCCCCACCCAGAACCCCGTTCGTGGTAAGGACTTCTACATGTACCAGTTCGGCACCGTCGGCCCTGACGGCGTGGACCTGCTGATCCGGACCCTCGCGCTCAACCCCAAGAAGCGCATCACCGCTCGTGAGATGCTCAGCCATCCTTGGTGGCACGCAGAGCCCAAGCCTACGCGTAAGGAAGACTTGCCCCGTAAGGATGGCGGAGAGGACAAGATGGGTGCCGATCTCAAGCGGCGCCCAGGCGTCGTTGAGGAGGAGAAAAGGGGTGCCAAGGTTGCGAGGAAGCTCGACTTTGGCGGAGCTAAGTAAGGTGTTAATTCATTCCTTTTTCTCGTCTGGGACCTCTATCATCTGGGACTACACTTCATTCCTATCATTTCTTTCCGGAGTTTTAGATATATATCATAGCGAGCATTTTATGAGATTTAGATACCCTCTCAAAAGATGAGAGAGTACAAAGACTGTATTGAATTCACATAGAATCAGGGTTAGCAATCCCCTGTTCGAACAAACAAATATCCCTCCGATATGTGAATATTTACCAGCCATATATATAAAGTTCAATGCAACCTTGAGAGTCATATCAAGCGTAAACCTACACTCCCTTCATAGTCTAAATCTTGTTAGGAGCTTCCCCCCTGGTGTACCATCTCCTCGTCGGGCCCCTTCTGAGTGATATTCCCAAATAAACACTCCCACAAATCGGAGCTGGGGACCACTTCCCCCGCGGTTTTGTCTTTACTCATCAGTTTTGAAAGCGCCGCTTGCTCCAATTCCAGCGTGTTCGCAGCCTCCAGCTTAGCGTCCATAAGCTCCTGCGTCTCTTTCCCTTTCGCAGTTTTCCCCATGTGCTCGAGACGACGCTTGACCGATAGATTGTAGATGGACTCCTCGACAGTCCCGGCGGTAATGTAAAGCCAAACTGTTGTCTTGTGCTGCTGGCCGATGCGGTCCACTCGCGCGATGGCTTGTAGTTCAAGTGCCGTGTTTACAAGAGGTTCGCAGAGGAAGACGTGGTTGGCATTGACCAGATTCAGCCCGCTGGAATGGGCTCGGGCATGGAGGAGGAAGACCTCAATGGCTGGATCTTCCTTGAAACGTGTTGTCCCACCGTGGCTGTCGATGGAGGCGTACCCAATCCGAAAGCGCTTGAAAGCTGTCGCGAGGATTCCCAAAAAATCCTTGTATCTATTAAGTGAATATTCATTAGAATCGTAGCTAATGGTACTGTAGATATGAACTTACTGTGAGAAAATAATCGATTTCGCTCCTGGATCAGACTCTCGCAACCAAAGGAGATGTCGTAGTAGAGTGTCGACTTTGCTTGTGTAAGATGGGCCGTCAAGCTCTATGTTTTTTATTTCTGCCAACTTTTCCGAGTTAAATGACGAGTATATCGTAGTCTGTTGCTGGTCAGAAGCCCCATTGCTTGACTGGCTTGTACCGGAAACACCTGGATCGGAAACGCCTTGGCCGTCGCTGTGGATTTTGAGTGACTGTGGCTTTATTGTGATGTCGTGAAGCTGTGAGGCATTCAAATGGCGCTTGCACACTGGGCAATTTCGATGGGCTTTGAACCACATCATCATGCAGGCTTTGCAAAACTGATGACCACAAACCGTCAAGACACCCGTTTCGAAGGTTGTCTGACAGATGACGCACATTCGGGGCTCATTGGATTTGGAACCAGCCTCTTTCAAGTACAGCACTGTGAATGTTAGTACCTACAGGAATTGGTAAACATCGGCATGGGCTTACAGTATCTGTGTTTCCCCTCAGCAGAGGCCACTTTCTGTGTGATTTCTTCCTCTGTCTTAATGATCCGAGCAAGTGCCTCTTCTGTTTTTTGGCCATCATAGGGAAGAACGGAGTCTGAAACAAATTGGAGTTGTCGGTAGTATTCGAGACGGGCGTTCATGGTGGCAGTAAACGTATCGATCTCGGATTCCAGAGAAGTCGATACCTTTTGTTGCTGGCTGAGAGCTGTCTGCGTAGACTGAAGTTGCCGGGATGCTATAGATTGTTCCGCCGAGATACGTTCAATTTTGACCTTTTCGTTGTTTAGCCTGGATGTCAAGTTACGCAGCTCGTTTGCCTGTGTGGTGGGATTTAGCTGTCGTATTGCGGCTGCATGGTCTGCAGCAACCCGTTCGGCTTTTTGTTTGTCGTTGGATAGTCTGGACGTGAGGCTTCTGAATTCGCTGATGGCCCCGCGCATTGACATGATTGCCGATTTAGGCTTGATCTCTGCCCTGTCCTGCATAAGCTTTAGGAGTAGCTCTGGGGCAGGACCCTCCCCATTCTTTGCTAGTCTGATTGATGTCTGAGTTTCATATTTGACCAATTCGTTGGTTTGTCCCGACATGGCATCCTGTCGGTCGGCAATTGCTGCCCGAAGAACTTGGACGTAGACCATGAGATGGTCTTGAATCTTGGCAGACTCCCCAAGCTCCTCTCCGGTAGTTTCCACTTCATCCTCTTCGTCAACAAGAGACTTTAGCAGCAGTTGAACCACTTCCTCTCTCCACTCGTCGATAACGTTTGCCTGTTCATTTAGCTCTCCGTAGAGCAATTCGAGTTCATCAATAACTCTACTGCTCTCAAGTCCTCGCTCAGGTCTAACGGTAAGCTCAGGGATCTCAGCAAAATCCTGGCCGGATCCCTTGTGGGATAGCTTCTTCATAAGCCGTGTTGTTTTGTGGTGGCTCTCTGAGAGAATCTCGCGACGAATTTCCTTTGCTGTATCATATCCTCCGTCCTCCAGTTTCTTGAGCTCATTATACTCTTCTGAGTCTGGCTCAGTCATTTCCTTGTTGTCCCGAATTTGGAAATAAGCATTGGCGCAGAAAAAGACCGCTCGGTGATGCAATTCTAGGGCTGAGCGAAGCTTGCGGCGGCACTCTCCTAGCTGGCCTCTGTGTTCTCCGATGGCTGTCTCTTCATCTTCAGAATCATCGGGATCTTGAGGATTCTGGATCCCTCGGGATGGTTTCCCTTTGTTTTCGGTGTTTCTTTTTATGATGTCTCGAAGCTCAGAGCGAGCATTCTCTACAAGCTCTTCTGTCGAAGCTCTTACCTCTTTCCAAATAGACAGTGCTTCTTTAACGCGCGGGCCGTTTTCGAATAACTGACCCCGAGTCAATTTGTTCAAAAGAAGCGCTCTCTCTTCTGACCTGAGACTGTTTTCGCTTTGCTCAAGCATGGCATCTAGAACTTCCTCCACCGTCCTCATTGGCTTTGTCTTATTTTGTCCCAGTACTCGACGGCCATACACTCCCACCTCGGGATGTAGGGCAGTCTGCCGCAGTCGGTTGAGCCAAGTTCGCATTTCTTCCACGTAATTTTCGGGCGTCCATTCGTCAAGCACTGGTTGACCTTGGGTATCAAGACCACAAGCTTCTGCCATCTCTTTAAACATGGACTGGTAATGCTGTTCCTCAACAGCTGTGAATGGCACACTGATTGCGAAGCGTTGCTGTGGTGGGAGGGAAATCTCATGCCGAACTAGTGCCTTGGTGTGCCTTATGGCTATCGTATTAAATAGTTTCTGAAACGCAGGTTTATGTTGTGTAAGAATAGCTCGCCAGGCTTGTGAAGCAGAATCCAGGGGCGCATAACGCAAAAACATGAGCAGGCCGAAGAGATCCTGGACACTATCTTTGACTGGAGTACCAGTTATTCCCCAAGCATTGACTCGCGGAATGACCTGGCTGACTTTTGCTGCTTGGCTGATTCCATTCTCTATCATCTGGGCTTCGTCAAGACAAAGACGCCACCATAGTATTTTCACTAGCGGTGATTTTGGCCGTTGATATTTCCGTTCCTGTCTGCGTGAACGCTCGGGAGCATCGCTGGTGAAATGTAGCTCGGCAGAGAGCACGCTATAGGTGGTTACTACAATATCGCAGCTCTTGAGTCTTTGCACCGTTTCCTCCTCATCTCCCCCCTCTTGCTTGCGTCCCTTGTAGAACTCACATCGAAGTCCGGGGGCGTGGCGAGATATTTCAGAGATCCACTGCTGTCTCAGAGACTCCGGTGTAACAATCAAAGTTGCGCCGCTTGGGATTACTGGCGGGTTGGGATCCTCGCTCCCATCTGGAAGAGACTCGGGTAGTCGGTGCAGAGAAATGAGACCCAGAATTTCAAGAGTTTTGCCTAATCCCATTTCTTCAGCAAGTATGCCTCCCTTTGTCCTTCTCTCGACCTGTTGAAATGGGGAATTGTCCAAACAGATTGTATGTAAAATGTCATTGAGAATGAATTCATTTCCGTCTAGATCTTGGACGCGCCTGGACAAATCGCTGATGGGAGCTGGAAAATCCTGTGCGAGGAGACCGATCCCATTTTTTTCGGACCACTGAACACCCTCTCGTGCTAATAGCCATTCAAGTGATCTCGCCTGGTAGGGGTACAATGTAGCCTCCAGGCCGGGTATCTCGAGCGGGATATTTGTTTCATCCCGAACGGGCGGGACATACGCCGCCTCATAAAAGTCCATCGGATAGGAGGCCGATTCCGGTGAGCCTGAAGCAGGGAAAAAATTGTCAATTAAATCTTGGCTGGCTTGTCTGTGAAGAGAAGTGCGTAGACCATTGAGAGGTGATGGAGTTACGTTCCAATAAAGGTTGAGGTCGAGTCTCATGGTCGCAATAGAATCTCGTCGTTCCACCGTTACATCGACATTATGCCATATTGTGCCTGCTGATCCATTGCGATCCCCTCCAAGATAGATAATCTGGGCCGCAACTGGACTCATTTCAGAGGACGAAAGTGAGAATACTGAGATGAACGATCCCAGCCGGTGTGGAGGGCGAGACCTGAGAGTGAATGAATTTGACCGGGGATTAAAATAGAAGGAAAGGAAATGGCCGATGGCCTTCCGTGCTATGATTGTTGGCTCTGATGCATTCTCTGTGCATGGTCGAGAAAACTCGATATGACCTCTTGCAGCATGACAGAATGGCACGGGAAGAGGTTCAACCTTCCTCCGTTTGCTCTGGGGGGCCGTGTTAGTCGACTCGCTGTCTGATAAAGATGGAAGTGAAAAAATATATTCGAATAGGCTCTCAGAGAAAGATTCTACAGATTCCGAAGAGGAAATACGATTAGATTTTGAATCGCTGACATGTAACCCGATTGAACTGACCATCAATATCAGAATGACGAAGAATGAGAGGGAACCTGGCCCGCTGCTTAGTCCGGGCCATGATAAAGGATATGGAGGGCTGTGACGCTTTTATATCGAGATGTTGGTGATCATTTCAAGATATGCGGGCTCGGAAAAGGGATGGAAATCGATGGACCAAATAATCAGCAAGATGAAGCAGAAGTGAAGAAGAGGAAGTACACAGGTCGCTGGGGAGGAGGATGGCCCCGGAGGACCCCAAGCTCGGAAAACGTGGGACCCACTAACTGCCTAATCGATAAGCCCAAGTTCCAAGAATGGGAGAGGCGTTTGGGTCCACTTTGTGGCTTGACTCTGCGTGTGCTGACTAAGGAGTCGGAGCCTGCAAACAAATTTCGACTTCAACGATCACGACGCTCTCCAGATTAGCTCGAGGTTGAGAGCTCATCCGTAGACAGCTCCCCACCATCGGTAAGTCTGCACTGCCCCGGGATCCATTGTAATCAGCCCAATTGAGAGGGTGAGAAAGAATAGGCCCCTAACTCACGAATCTTCATAGGCAAAATGAAGCTCGAACGCCTACGGCCCTGCCTGCGTATGTTGGCGCCGTCCAACAATTTCACTTTCGCTGGCCAAATTCGATCCATCCACCAGACTCGGCGTGCCAGGAAGATCCCAGAGCCCAAACCATTCGTCCCTGACGTAACGACGTTCCTGACCCTGATTGGTAGAGGTCTCAACAAATACGCAAACAAGTTCCCCTCATGGGATTCTCTTTTCTCCCTGACTGGACCCCAATTGAAGGAACTGGGCATCGAACCAGCGCGAAGTCGAAGATATTTATTGAACTGGATGAAGCGCTACAGGAAGGGAGATCTCGGACCTGGCGGCGATTTTCTATTCGTCAAGGATGGTGAGGCTATCTTGAGAGCGGCTACACTGCAGGAAAAGGAGCTCAGTGGCTCCAAGTTTGTCGTCAATGTTCCTCATCCCGATGAGGAAGTAGAAACACCGGCGGAAATCTTTGGCCGTCCACTTGGTTACGTGGTACGAGGCGCAAAATCGATTGCTGGGCCATACGCCACACCTCTCCCTGGTTCGACCGGCGTGAGCGTCAAGGTTACTGAGGGCATGTGGGAGGATCGCCGGGGTCGCAAAATTGACGGAGGTGAGCGAAGAAGAGCTGAAATTCGCTTCAAGAAGAGATCAGCCGAGAGACGAGCACAGCGGGAAGCAGAGTTTCTCGGACACTAGTAATACGGCTGGTGTATTCTTTTATGTACAATATTTGTGTATGTATATTGGCGAACAATTTCAAATCGCTCATTGGCAATCGCCAATAAAGGCAATTTGACCACTCGTGGTCGCGGGCAGACAATCTATCAATGTGACAGATTGTTGGAACAGCTGTTGCGTTACTCCGTATTACGAGGACCTAGGAGGTTCTGGGATCGGCGTTTTCCCGATGTACCCCGGCCAACCTTCTTGTATATTGGCCATACTACTGTTACCTCCTTTATCACAAGCGTCAGAAAGACAAATCCCTGGTGCACCGGCAGATTCGCAAATCTTCGGCAAGGGAAAGGAGAGAACTCTTTAACCATTGCTTGGTATCAACCTATTGCTTGGCTTGGTCAGAGATCCTTACACTTCAAGTACGTATAAACATGCCTCCTTATCCTATTTAGGCCTGCAGGTCTGATGGAGGCAGATCTTCCTACTCACACACATGCATGTGCATGCCACGAGGCACATCCTGGCACTTCGGATCTCGAGTATTTCAGATTGCTTAGGCTCGCCCCGCACCTCCTCGTCAACTTCTCTGTCACTCTGTAAGGGGAGGTGCAGACATACTGGTGGGGTTGCTTTGGGAGATCATGCACAATCGCTGTGTAACTCGATGTACAAGGAATAGCCTAGTGGGCGAGGGGTGTATATATCGTTGCATCCAACTTGCAAAATCTGTGAAAAGCAGCTGTAGGTGGATGGATCTCCCCGAGTTAGATGCTCTCTGCTCTTTCTACCTGCTACTGGATGACGTTTATGCCTCTTCTCCGACGCCTGATTGGTTGGTGAAGCTTGAGGAAGGCTATCTGTCCCTTCTCGACAGGTTCAATCATGAAACATCGTGTACTTAGTTTACCAGGTATCGTTAACTCTCCTTCCTAGAGATCACAATGTCTTATTGCATAATGACGATAAATGTGACGAGGAAGACGAAAATAACAGGAAAGACCACGACGAAACATAGATATGTAATCGGCACCGTAGGCCTTCCGAGCCGTATGGATTCATGTGAGTTTACATGGAGACCAATATTTTCAAAGACTTATAAACGCAGACTACACGAAAGTACTAGCGATAGCGATTACAAATATATCCTCTTCTATAGGTATCTCATTGCCGACCTGCTCCCACCGACGATCCTCAAATGCCGCGTCGTATATCAGGCTAAAAGAAGCTTAGGGGACTTTCGCTTCCTGCCATGGCGAAACTCTCGGCGATACTATGCGCACAACCCGCAGCGGGTGCTGCAACCAACATAAATGGTTGTTGCTGATCGCCAGGGACGAGAGTCTGTTCCGCTCATTGGTGATGCACGTGACTTCCATCGCACCTTCCTTGCCTGCCGAGAAAGTCGAATCCTCATAAACAACTTGTTCGCCCTGTCAGTTCCAGGTCTTTTCATCTTCCATCAAGTCTCATGGCTGGCCAGAAGCCCCGACCATCGAATCGAACAGTCGCCAAGGATGGCCACCTCCATTTGGGAGCGGAGTCTTCAGTTGGCCGCTTTGGTGCCAAGCCAGGCGTATTCGAGCTTCGAAATTAGGATTTCTTCCAAGGCCACGGCGACATCAACCCATTAACTCGGTTGCAAAACCATCACTTATTTTTTGTTCTTCAACGTGGAAAACAATATTCAATCCTTCCTGGAAGGGATCTCTTTCGCATCGAGCAAGCGGCTGGCAATTTGCCGTAGAGTGTCAATTGTTTTGGGCTCCCACCACCAATGTCCCATTCGGCAGTGACATGCTTGGATAACCATGGTTACATTCCCATGGGTTTCGATATCGGAGTCCACGCATTCTCGGCCAAAGCAGATGGGTGCTCTTCCCCAGAGGGATCTGCATGCTTCTTGCCTGTGAGCTTCTTGTCCTGGTGGGTAGGAGAGATCATCATCGATTAATCGTTTCATAATACCGGATCATCCTGCTAGTCTTGACGCCTACTGATTCCAGGACACCCTTAAATATGAATACTACGCCAGCTATCTGTCAATGCATCCGTCCATCTGCACTCCCACCTTGGGCCCCCTGTCCCATGCCTTCAGCTGGCTGCACTTGTCCCTTTTCAGAATGCTGTGCGGCGGAAATCATTACCAATGCATACCGGCTGCCTCAAATCTCTTCGTCGATATCTTCATTCGTCTAAGGATGGCAGACCGTACCTGTCACAGGACGGGATGGCGTTTGGGGGGCCACCCAACTCACCAACTCCAAGGGCAGGGAAGACAGCGAGACCCGAGGATGCTACCCATCTATCACGGGCCACCTACGGGTGAGGCGTATGCATGATTTCGTCAGAACAATATGGACCAATCAACATTACTCTTCTACGTTGATAATATCGGTCGCTATAATGTCATCATTCACCTTTACGAGCATGAGTTACGAACGTGTCTTGAAGTGCTGGCTTTGAGCATCAGCCTCGATATATCCGAAGGGAATTGAACACGGATGGCTCCATGGGCGCTGGCCCCATGCGTCTAAGGATTTAAGCTGTGTCGACCCTGTTTGGTAGATTTCCCACATTGGGTGGAGGGAAGACGGGAGGTTGAACGGAAGCCAGTCCCCGGACCGGTCAGTATCCATGTCACCTGTCACTACTTCAGCAACATTACCAGCCTGCTCCCTCTTCAAAACCATCTTGGGCCTTTTGTTGTGCTTTTGTTTCATTCCGCTTCTCGCATAGGTACCAGCAATTGATCGTCATGTACAAACTAAAGTTAACGAAGGCGGCTGAGCATGGGGCGCCGTGGCTACATCATTCGACACACGCCCGGAACAGAGAAAATCCACCATGACTATTACTTCTTAGTAAGGAGAATTGAATGGAGCATAGAATTGCAACGGGCGAGCAGATGTGCTAACGTCGTCTGGTCCTACCCCGGTCGATCGATTGAGCGAGGCCTCCTTCTACAATGGAAACAGCCTTGTTCAGCCGGATTTCTGTCGCTAAATTCCATCTCTACTATGCCAGCGGCATTTCACTGCGCAGAGTACCTATCTAAGACGCTGTTTAAGCATATGTCACGAGTGTTGACCAAACCTAAAACTACGACTACCAATCTTGACACCACAACCAAAAAAGCAGGTTCATTGCAAACCTGGAGAGCAGCCTTGTGATCTCGCTTAGATGTCCAGGAAGTGAGACGAGAAATCACGTCGGCGGTCATCAATTCTCTCTAGGGAATCGTGCAGCAGGCTTACACGGCACAGACATGCATCAGTAACGCATGTGAGTATATTTAGGTAGGGCGCCTACCTTGGTTCCCCACCACCGACTTTTCATTGGATTCTTGTGCAACATTGTCTCTGGTGTTAGGTCGAGACTCGAGCCTGTCCTCAGAATTCAGACAGGTATTTAACAGCAACCCACCAAAAAGCTCACGAAAGCCGATACGGTATTGCAGAGAAAACTTTCTGCGGCCGCATTTAGCTCCGAGTCCTACTTGGCGATGAGTTTACGGTGTGGCATAGCTCTTTTCCCCGCTACTCTCGCATCCCGTATCTGACGACTGAGGATGACGACTTGGTAAGAAGGCCTCACTAGGGTGACGCCCCCCCACCCAACACTTGGGCACTCGTCACAATCGGAGGAAAGATCAGGAGAGGAACATATAGGAGGAGACCTGGTACCTTCTCGTGCAGCGGGATTCAACGCGATTGGTAAATGGTGCAATTGCCCATCACTCACCTGTAAGTAGGGTCTGAAACTGGCAGAAGATCAGTGGATGACAGCTGGGTTGGGGGGTGTGTCTCCAGCCTGTGCAGGAGAGTAGGTCTTTCATTTGCTCTGTTGGGCATGCTTCACGACATCAATCGGGAGCACAATGGTGTTCACCTTGACTCAACAGAGTATCTAGACGCAGCCAGATCCCAATTTGGGAACCAGCAAGTGAAACAGCCAAGTGGCAATGGCAGGCAGGCACACGCCGAGAGACAAATGGTTGATGCCACCTTGGACGACTTGATGGCCTGTCAACGCTCAGCAAAGTACATGGATGGAGTCCTGTACTGCATTTCCTTCAATTTCTGTGAGGCTTTGGGCGCTTGCCTCATTTATGGACGGCCTGAGGCAGGTATATCGCCGGCAGATTTGAGGCTTCGAGGAATCGGTTGAATCTGGGATGGTGGAACCATGACGTGGTTTGCCGGAGAATAAGGCGTTATGATGGCTTCCATCCGACTTGTCTCTGTTCAGCTCACCCGCTGTGCTCCTTGTCCCAGACGGCACCTGGGTTGTCTGGAGGCTGGATTCCTCAGAAAGTTCCTCCATTGTCTCCGCGGCGGAGAGCTGAAAACGCCCCTGGCGCCGGGCGGGAGAGCTCGAAGCTTGCGCTGGCCAATAGCCTGCAACTGCCGGGCGTGAGAGGGGCCCGTGAGCCACCACGACGAGACATCTCTCTCTTGAGTTAGGCCGTTGACGTGCATCCTCCTGGACCGGCCCACCCACTAAATATGTCCCTCGGCCTCGAAGCTAAGGTAAACTAGCGGGCAGGCTAGGTACCTACCCGACCCTAAGCAGGGCCGGCCTGTACACACCAGCCTGTCTTATTATGGCACCTCTGCCTCTGCCGCGAGCTGTGGGCGGCCATCGTCGCCTTGTTGCCAGGGTGCCTCTGCCCATCCCAGCAGCCAAGGTCGTGGATGGAGTCGCACAAGGTGGGGCTGCTCGGGTCTCTTCTCCACCCCCACTCAACTGCTCAACCAAATTCAAGATGAACCTACAAAGGTCCTCCTCAAAGGCTGTCCTGGGCTTCTTGCCTCGTACCCATCTGCCCACTCCCATGTCATCATGTTTTTCTTTCATCTGCGACGGCCTTCCTCGTGCAGACTAAACCCTTGAGCGATCGGTGGATACGCACTATACGAATCGCCTTTCCTATCAGGGAACAGTCAGGAGTCCGCTTTAATCTGGCGAGGCGCTGATATCCCCAGATGATATAGGAGGTAGGGGTGATTGGACGTTGCAGGGCCGTCCATTACGGCTCCCGCGTGCCCAAGGCGTGCTGGGATGCATCATCCTATCTGGACGATTGCGTCGTGTGAATATCACCGTTCGAGCCAAGTAGGTAGCAGCCAACGTCACGCACATGGTCTGACTGCCTACCAACTAGGTAGCTCCAAAGACACACCGGCTCACTCGTCCTCAATCGGTTCCGACAAGTGCCCAACCATCTTGCTGCGCTTACTCGCAATCAATCCTGGTGAAGTGGCCACGGCTCCTCCTTACATATACGTACGTACTTGCAGCCGCGTAGCATGCCTCCATCGAGCCGACAGGGACAGCCATGCATGTGAGCGAAACAAGAAAGATTTCCAGTGGGTCCAGCCCATATGAATTTCGCAGGCCGTTTGGGTAAGGTAGGCGTTGGACTTGGCTGCCCAAACCCTCAGCACGCCCTTCCAATCTTTGAGCACAGAGGCCAGCCGTCTTGCAATCAGGGTGGGAATTGCAGTGGGGACCTTTCTGGATCTTGCGCTGTTCCCTACCGACCTATTTCGCTCTGTATTATTGCCAGTTTAGAACCAGGCTGAGCGCCGCTTTTGATTGTGGCTGCCAGACTCTCCCACACGCCCACTTGCACCTATATCCCCCAGCTGCCGAGAATCACGGCAGTCAAAATGGAGAACAATGGGCTTCATCTTGATCGGCCGGAGGCATCGCGGCGCTTATCGAGCCATGTGGCTGCTCCTTGGCTGGGAGGCAAGGGTCTGTGCTGTCACACAGCTAGATAGGCAGACTAACATACTCACCTACATGCCACCGCCTGTCCTCAGCTGCTTTTTCCTATGGTTCCGTACTTTAGCCCTCTCTCTGATCGTCAAAGCATCCACAACCACACTTCGCAACCTTGCTTGTCCCTGACATGGGAAAACCCTAGACGGTGACTCCACAATGGGGCACATCACAGTGGTGTTCAAGATCATGTACGACGCTTGGGTGCATCCAAACCAGGGCCGTCCGAGCCTCCAAACAGGCGTGGGAGAAATAACCAAGGATTTGGTGTGGGATGCCCTGTAGCTTTCAGGTCGTCCGCTGCTGATTCCGCCCGTCTGCGTCACCCCGCGACTTGCTGTGTCTCCGCCCGCCTCGTAGGGATGATGGTGGATGGTGGGTGGTGTATGCAGCCGTCTTTTCCTAACATCTTACGAGCACCACCAATCGAGACAGGGCCATGAGGCGCTGGTCTCACTCCCGTCTTGACACATCTTTTCCGCCGGCCCCTGCCAGCACCTGTTCTGCAGCCGCCTCCTCCAAAAGCACGTCAACAAAATGTAATGTAAGCGTGCATACTTACCGGTCCGTTATGACATTGGCCCATCTCAACATCTGGTATTCCCTGAGAGGGAGACCCCCGTGCGGCTCGCATAGGGTCATATTTTCTCCCCGCCGGGTCGTGCTACGTCGCTTAAGACATACATCCAGCGATCTTAGTCTGCTTTTGCAATTTCTAGAAGGGAGGAGTGTAGTTTCTACACCTTTTCCTTTCCAGGTCTTGCTCGACTCACCCCTACCATGATATAAAAAAGCACCCACGCCTCTTATGCCAAGATGTCCTCCCCCCTCCTGATGTTGCCATTGGAGGTTCAAAAAGTATATCTTCCCCGTACATTCCACCGTCTGAGACGAGATTCACTCTTCTCAGTGTCTTCCCATCTTCATTCCTTCCAAAGATCTCTCCTCTTAATACTTATACCGCCACATCTTCCAATTTCGACTCTAGACTCTCGACATAAAAGTCATCGGTGCTACACTACACATCCATCCAACATTATATAACAGCCTCCTCTCCCACCCCATTTCTCTCACATCGAGGCATATTCCACACATATCAAACGCTACAAAACAATACATCATTGCAAACAAAGTAGAGGCTTCAATAATATCTATATCACAGCCACAATGTCGCCTCGCAGTACTAGACACAGCTCTATCAGCTCGAAAGCAAGCAGCCCTGAAGCGACTCCGAAGAAATCCAAGTCATCCAACAAGGATGCAGACTGGGCCGATGTGACAGACCCCGAAGAGAGGAGACGGATCCAAAATAGAATTGCCCAGAGAAAGTTTCGTAAGTCTCCCATGTGCCCTCTATCACCTCGACTTACTTCCTCTACCAACATACTAATGTGATCCTTACACCCCTCTTCTAGGAGAGAAAGCTAGAGACAATAAAGAAAAGGCGGAAAGGGAGATGAGAAACCAAGAGCATGCTGGAAACAGCTACCGGACACCCACAGCGGATGACTTCGCCAACGACTCAGAGCTCTCCGGTCTGCCCTGGGGAAGCGTCAACATGACCCACGTGTTGAAGAAGACGCACGACTCGGGTGGACTCCGGAGCAGCAGAAGAGAACAAACCTACACCGGAGATGAAGCATACAGGAGCAGGTATTACAACATGCCCTACGGGCAGGGCTTCCAACAATCACCCAGCTACGGCAGCAGTAGCACCGAGGACGCATACCTCGACGATCAGACCTACGTCTACAGTCCCGTGCTCCCACCGTACGGTCGTCACCCGCTGACACCCCAGTGATAATCCCCACGGACGGGGACCCATCGTGTAAGTCGTCTCCTCGCGCTAGGCAGGCGTGGCGCCTCAGCTGACGCCAGGGGCATCTCAAGTATGACATAGCTACAATAATAAGAGTTGCTATTCACCTTAGCTTCTTTTGCTTCACGGCACGGCACTTTTCTTAGGCTATCTAACTACGGTTCTAAAGAGGCGGAGCAAACCCTTCCTCCACCTACGTCAATGGCTGCACAGCATACTACTTTCGACATAGGACTGATACGCTTCCCTGCTGAGCACAGACGCGGAAGCTGGCTTGTTGTTTTGATATGCTTACTCCTGTAGATGAGGTCTCTTTTCCTCCTCTTTCTTCCTTTTATGTGGGTTATTTTGTATACATAATACAAGAACGGCAGGTTTACATAAAGGGAACCGTACAGCAAGACCCGTTTGCTTGCTTTTTTGGGATTGTTTTTCTTTTCTTTTTTTTTTCAACTCCCATAGAGACATAGCAATTAAAGTATTATGAACGGGCATCACATAGGATCCTCAAACTACCTAGAATGAATACAATACTTCCTCATGTCTCCGATCTCGGACTTGCCCGCGTGATGATGAGAGACGGACGAAGCTGCAAAGCGACGGACGAAAGCTGCAGAGCTTCCCTGGAACCTGATATTACCAATCCACCACGAGGGAGTCCTGGGGGGAGCGGGAATGTCGGCGATTGCGGGCTGTGTAAAGTGGCTGCAGACGGGGAACAGGGCGTCCGCCAATACGATTCCCGTCCCAGCTACCACGGCCACGGTGAGCGGCGTTGTCTCTGCGTAGGTAGTACCTTGTTTTTTTTTCCGGCGTAGGCCCAACTGTGCCAGCTTAGTATCACCCTCCACACATCTCGGCCATATCCCGCCAGCCACTGTTTCGGATCAAGGAGGGAAAAGAAGCTAAACTAGGTATGCGAGCTCCACAGATCCGGAGCGGGAAACATGACCAAGGCCTTTGCAGCGAGCGGTGTGAGAAGGGTCCCCGTTGGAAAAGGGGTGTGGAGGTATGGAATGAGTTGTCTTGAAGAACAGCACCAACGTTGTCTCAGTTCCTCTTGCCTTGTCTCTCTTGTATTGCTTTTGCTACTTGGGCATCCTCGCCTTTGGTCGATCCTCGCCGCCACCACCACCCACCCACCCAATGGCGAGAGATCCAGGGAAGGAGATTCATCACATCACATACAAGGGTTGGCCGCTTTTGGGTGTGCTTAACCGTCCATCGAGCCCTGCTATCGGTACTCCCCATAGGTCAGCGGTTCCCAGTATGTAATAGGCCGAGGGGTTGCCTTCTCGACTCTTTGGCATGATGACAGCAAGGCACGGGGAAGAATGGTAAGACGAACCAGCATGGCAAGGTTCCCCCAGACAGTTCGGAGGAGGAAGAGGGGGGGGGGATGGCCACCCTCCAGTACGGAGATAATCTCAAAGATGGCAACAGGCACCGTTCCACCAGTCGGCCTGTCTCTCATAATTCGCCTGTGTTACAAATCCGCTACCTTATACAGGGGAAAAGGAGTACATCCCTTCCGCAATCCCCTCCCACCCAACATGCTGTGCTCGTTGAGAATATGTGACAGGTTCCGATTTCCGGATCCACACCACGGTACTCTACCTGCATATTACAACCCTCTGGAAATGCGAGTCGGAAGCCCCCCCACCATCACAAGACCGTGCCTCCTTGACAACGACGAGCGTCCAAGAAAACACCTGTGGTTACCAGCCCCGAGTACAAGGCGGGAGCTGACCCAACCTCCCAGGTTATGCCTTTTCGCGTGAGATTAGGCTGCCGTGGCCGTGGCCGGTCTGTCCAATACACGTATATCCTTCCCATGGCGGTTTCAGCTCGTTACATTGGTAGGGCTGAGAGGTTGATTACACAAAAAGGGACTCTTGTAGGTTCGGGGGAGGCGCGGGCAGATGAGTAAACACGCGTAAAGGACTGCGCTCCGTAACACACCTCTGCCCGGGTTGCCGGTCGACGCCTGACCACCCCCCTTCCGTCCAAGGTTTGGCTCCCGGGTGACATCTGGATTCCCGGTTGCTGGCATGAGACTGCGAAGGTGATATGGGCAGCGCACGAGAAAGAAGCATGTTTCGGGGCCTGAGCATCACAGACCGCCTTCGCTTGCGCCTGCATATGGGAAGTGATGGTGTTATTATGTCGCAGTGATGCAGAGGATTGATCACTCGCAACTCGCCCGCGGCCAGGCCAAGAAGGACGAGACATGCATGAGAGGTACCACTTTCAGCTACGCGCCCAGCGCCTCTTCTTGCCTGGCAGGTCAGAATGCGGCATGATCGGCGGGCGAGCCGTCCAAAAGCAGAACGAAGGGAAAAAGGCCAAAGGGCCCTTTTACTGTTCTGTACTAGACCAGTGTCCGTGGCCTCCAACTTCAGCCAGTTTGATGGAGGAGGAACGGCATTCGGCTTGGGCGACTGCCGCCAGGAAGAGTGGGGAGCAGGCGGGAATGGCGGGGCGCCGGGACCGAGTTGGCTGCCAGGTCGCAATTAGGTTAGCGACGTTGGCACTAAGCAAGGCCCTGTAATTCGTATAGGTAGGTACCGCCGGTCGCTGTATGCCGCCCCCGTGCATCTATCCCACACAGCTACTGTTGGATGGAGCTCCTGATGGCTGGATGATGATACCATGATTGCATATCGCGTGCTGGCTTGAACGACTTTCATGAGGCTTACAGGCTATAGATAGGCCGGTGAGCGCCTCGGCGTAGACAGCTGGACCCTTGATGCGTCCCAGTTTCAGGCTACCGATGATCTCGCAAGCGGTTCCTTTCAGCGATCAGCAGAGCGTGGGGCGGCAGCTTCACACCGCCCACCAGAAGCCCACCTCGAGACGCTATCAATCGCGGCAGAAAAAAAAAGTTCATCACCAGCCTCGTTGCTGAAGCTCACCACGCAGGCTGCCTTACTTTGCCGCAGGCTTGGTCGCCAATCAGAACCCGCACACCCCCTTCGTCACGTCATATCATTCCCATCTCCTCGGAGATAAATTGGCGCACATAAGACGAATACATCCTTATTTTGCGGAGGACGCGCACGCCCTTTTGCCAATACAACGTCGTTCTCATCCTGAGCCTCCGACACGCCTCGTCACCTTTCCCGTCTTGGGCGGCTTCATCTTCGTAACATTTCGGTCAGCAGCAATTGCAGATTTCACTCTTACCACCATGTCTCCGGACGCCGATCAGTCCCAAAACCCTCCGCAAGGTCAGTAAGCCCTATTCTTGTTTGATTCAGCTCGGTGCGACTTCACGCAGCAAAGGCTCGGCCAAGGAGAGTTTCACCTCCCGACTTCCTACGTTGAAGAACATCTTCTCCATTTTACAACCCCATGTCGAACGAATACGTCCGTCTTACCATGTCTCTACGTACAGGAGCGACTAGCAATCGCAAGGAGGAACTCCGCAAGGCCCGAGCCGAGGAGCGCAAGGCCAAGCGGCACCTAAAGGCGGAGGCCAAGCGTGCCCGCAAGGCCAACAAGGCCCCCGCGGCCAAATGGACCGCGGAGCGCAAGGCAGAAATAAGGGCGGCGGTGAAGGAGAAGAAGAACCAGCCCAAGATGCTTGAGCGGAAACGGGAGCGGCTTCTCCAGCGATCCAAGAACCTGGAGCTGCAGGCCGCGAAGCTGCTCGCCAAGTCACGGCAGGCGGCCGCCCAGTACCAGGCCATGGTCGATGCTGACAAGGTGGGTTCGGAAAGAGTCATCCACTCATCCACCCCTCCCCCCCTTACAGGTCGTGTCCCATTGAAACTTATACTTTTTGACTGCAGAAGCGCAAGGCTCAGGGGAAGTCGGGAGAAGATGAGGCGGAGGCCTACGATATTGCTGTCGAGAGCAATGACGATGACGATTCCGACTCCTCATCCGAGGCCAGCGATGATACTAGCGCTTCCCAGGATGAGGGTGCCCCCGTGGCCGAGGTTCCGATTCCGAAGAACGTCCCAGCTGACGAGATCGTCATGAAGAAGCGACGGGAGAGCGATGCCGCCTCGGTGCGCAGTGCTCAGGAATTGACCGAGTCCAAACCCAAGGAGAAGAAGGCCAAGAAGGCCAAGAAGGACAGCGAAGAAGCTGAGCCTGAGGCTGAACCCGAGGTCAAGAAAGCCAAGAAGGACCGCAAAAAGAAGTCCGAGGCAGCCCCCGCCGTGGCTGACGAAGAAGAAGAGCCTGAAACCAAGAAATCGAAGAAGTCGGAGAAGAAGCGCAAAAGGGAATCAGCTGCCGGCGCGGAGGAGACCCCTGCCGAGGACGTAGAACATCCTAGCAAGAAGGAGAAGAAGGAAAAGAAGGAGAAGAAGGGCAAAAAGGACAAGAAGTCCGATGAGCCGGCCGAAGACCCCGAAGCCACCTGGAACGTGGAGCAACTGGATGGCGGTGCTGAAAGACAGGCCAAGATGCTCCGCCTTCTCGGCGGCAAGAAGAAAGGCGCAGCGGCAACTCCTTCCTCCGCATCCGGCGGCAAGTCGAAGAACAGCCTGGATTCCGTCAAGGCCGAGGCGGACTTGCAACGGCAGTTCGAGGACGGCATGCGGGCCAAGAACGAGGGCGGCGGCCACCGTCGTGGTCTGGGTGCATAAGTCACGTTAGAATCCGCTCGCCACCCTGTTTCTTGCGCTCACATCGCAAGAGAAGTTTGTACATGTTTCCTCAGATATCAGATTCCTTCCACGGTGCATTTTGTAGTTCCTACGGCGTTGAGTGATACGGGAAAAAAAAAAAAGGAGCACGAGAAGTGACCAAGGTGTAGATGCATAGTTTTAGCATTGAATTGATGAGCATTTTTGACAATTCCCATTCTCCATTTTCACCTTTTGCGCCGCCGTCTGCTATTGTTCTCTCTAAAAGTACAAGAGAAGGTTGTAAAAGATTCCCCATCCCAAGGAACAAATAATAGTGGAAGAAATTCGCAATCAAAACAAAATAAGCGCCTGGGCGGCACAGATAGGAGGTCCTAGTTCCACCCTATGTATGAAAAAACAGTTCGCTCGGCCAGTGACTCGGGTCGTTCGGTCGGTGCAGGATGCCCGTCGATCGCGCTCCCTGAAGTTGTCATCCCACATTCCCTCGCGGAGGAGAGAGCAACGCTGTTCCGTCGCTTATTTGCCGAAGAAGTGCTCGAAGGCCTCGAATATCAGGCCGCCGAAGACAATGAAGCCGAGGATGACTGTAAGTTTGGCGCACGGCGATTAGCGATCGGAAACGGGGGCAAGTTGGGCAGGAGGAGCTTCACGTACCAATCCAGATGAGGGAGATGGGCGACTTTTGCACCTCCTTGGCCTTCTGGGCCTTGATCTGGTCCTCGGACTTGCCCATGCGGTTCTCCTGGGTCTTCGCGAACTTGGCGTTGCGGCGGCGCTGCTCGAGTGTCTGGGCCTGTGGTTGTGGTGTCAGCTTGGAGCATGCGACACGGGAGCTATAGCAGTGCATACCATGGTGCTTGATTTGTGTTAAAGGACAGGTTGCGGAACTGAAATTTGGAGATATTTTCGGGTCGGGAGACGTTGAACTCGTGGGTGAAAGGGGTGTTTCGTCTTTTATACTAGCGATCAATTGATTGATTTCAAGGGACAACGAGGTGGAATTCGAAGGGGACACAGTGTCGCGGAAGAGGTGTGACGATCCCGGGATTGGACATGTGTCGTCTACAGGGGCCAAAAAAGACGAACGGACGCTAATTACAGCATGCCTTATTAGGTATGTGGTTACAGGTGATCCAGCCAATGACACACGTCCAATCCCGCTGACTCATCACCCCAGCTAAGACTATAAGCTCCTTGCATTTCCACCAAATCGTCTCATTCCCCTTGCAATAAGAGTCACATGTATCTATCTCATCGTTGTGAGATACATATACTGCTTGCTTCGACTCTGGGCTGGGGCGATGGAGATGGAGCCCCTCGCGCACGATGACTCAATGCATACTTGATGCCTTATTCCCAACAACGTGTTCCATTGATCTACACCAGGTATTTCCATCACACACCACCGCTCAGGACAACATCACCGTATCATACCATGATGTCTCCCTCTTTCTTTCTGCATTTTACTCCTGGAACTTGTAGAACACGTTGACATATGCCGTCCTTTCCTTGACCCCACCATACTAGGCAGCCTCTGCCCTCGGTACCTGCATCCTTGATGGTGTTGACGAGCATGCCACGCTATTTCTCATGGAACAAGCTCAAATACAATCTTCCCGCGGAGCTGCTTATCATCGTCATCACTCCGCCGTCTGAGAACTTTGAGGCGCATGTTGCTCAGCAGCAGGATGTCGACCTCGGAGTTGTTGTCTTCCCCCGGCATGTCACCAGGGACGGCGATGGTTATTCTCGTGAGCCGCTTCGACCATCGCCCTTTCATGGGCCGGGTCAGGGTGAAGACATGATGGACGGGGAGACCAGTGTTGGAGGGCACGAACTTCCCGGTGACGCTACGTACGGGGTAGATCCTGAACGAGAAGCCAAGAGGACTAGCAACGAGCGGATCAGAAGCCGGGGATGGCGAGGCGACACTCGTCTGAAGCTGCCAATACTCCGCTTGCAGATCTGCTCGGGCGTAGGAGAGTATTCCCGTTGGCGAGGGGCAAAACCCGGTGTCGCCCGCGGTGTTACCGTCAACGGAACAAGGGTCTACTCGGCCTTGGCTTCAGAGGGTATGGATAATTGAAAGAGTGAAAAGGGGGCTGACGTGGCTTGCGCGTTTGCATCACCGATATCCAATTCCAGAATACCATCATTAAGCTGCAAAGCAATGACGGCAGATATCGGCCCTTTGTCGTCAAAGTACCCTTTCATTGCTGCACTCAGCTCATTCACAAGATACTGACCAAAAGCGGCTGGATTTAGAGTGCGAGTCTGCCAGTTGAAGACCGCGGTCGGGGTGCCATCAGAATTGAACACTCGATTCCCGAGCCCTTCTCCGCGCTTTTGGCCCGGGGGCTGCTCTTTTGTCGTATAATTCTTCCTGAGTATAAATTGGAGGTTGTCCGCAGTTAACGAGTGCCCCGCCCTGAAGCACTGCTGATGAGGAGGCACCGTGAACGTGATTCGCTGCAGGTCTGGAGGTGCCGCATCGAACAAGACGTACATGGTGTCAGGGGCTATACGCTTCTGAACCAAAATGGGCTGCTGGGTGGGCGTGTTGGCTGGAGGATTCACGCCGGTGCCAACCTCGACTCCCTCTAAATCAATGGGCTGCGAACGTGTATCCGAAAACTTGACGTTGACAGCAAGGTCCGGAAACTGTACAAGCAATTGGCTGCGTAGCAAGAACCCGTACCGTGGCATCTGGACATGCCAGCCTCCCAGCGATTTGTCGGCGGTCCTAAGACGTTTGTTAATGGCCTTTTTGATTGACGCTCGACTCAAATCCTGCTCTGGTTTGTCCCCCCAGTGATTCGCGAGACTCAGCGCACCGTCGATGAGAGCATCAACCCAGTTTGCATCAATATGAAAGAACCGAAGCGTCTCTTCAGGCAAGAAGGCAGGGTCTGGGATGAGATATTGTGCCGGAATGTCGTTGAGATATACTTTATCGAGAACCCAGGAGTAAATCAGAGCATAGTCAGGGCTCACAATATGGGGAGAGGACTGCGAGAGCATATCAACGGATAGAATGCGAACCCCCCGTTCGTCTTCATGAGCATCATCGTTGGACCATCGATTGGTACTGACGGTAGTAGTATCGCCACCTCGAGTATGCAGAGGCGTGTTCATCTCATTCAAGCCCCTGACCAAGTCCGCCATCCTTCCAGCAGCACGCTCTTGGGCCCCATATCCGTCGTGCCCAAAGAGCGCATGGACATCGCGCTTCGCAGCTTTGAGACCACCACCTTGCACCGCATTTCGATATCTCGCAAGAGCAGCGCAAAAGGCTTCATCAGCCATGGCTAGGGACTTACCTAATTGCCATGCGCTGGAGTAGGTTATGTCTATAAGGCTGAGACGGGGATCAAAAATGGCCAAGTCGGTCCCAAAGTTTGATAGCATCAGCATGTTGTTTGTCAATGGTCGAGGGACCTGCACTGGCGTCAGTGGTCCACGAAAAAGAGCAGCCGTGACCTCCCCGGTGACTGTGCGATGGTGAGTAACTGTGTATCCGCCACGTCGACGAGCGGCAATGAGAGCATCCAAGTCCTTTTCTTCCCCTTTTGGCGTTGCAGGGGCCTCCCCCCGGACGTCATCGGTGCGAAGAACAGTGAGATGATCACCCAGAGTGGCGAGCATATTAGACGTTTTGGCCTTGGTTTTAGATGCGAGACAGGTGTATGTCCAGCTGTGCAGACTGACCATAGCAACACGATCTTCGTCCTTGGGGACCGGCATTTCGTCGTCCCAGCTTAGTGAGACGAGATGAGCAATCATCACACTTGACGTGTCGGCGTCAATGGGCCCGGTTCGCCGACTGACCACGACACTGAAGATTGCTTCGTTGCTGTCCGCGCCCGCATTGACCATGCCATCTGTGGCGACTTGCCTCACGTGCGCCATGTGTTTATAGCAAGCGACATCCAACTTGTCTCGTGGCCCATCGGGAGCGACAAAGAGACCGTTGAACAACTTGCCGGGCACCATGATGAGCTCAGTGGGTTCGGCGGCGTCTCTGGCATCCTCGCGTTCCTTAAACCCTGTCGTGTTGACCAGGTTCTCGATGCCATTCAGAAGAGGCGTATGACGTGCCAACGTTCGCAGAGTGCATGTTTCGCTCTGCTCGAGTTTAACATCCGGCGGCATGTTCTGGAAAACATGCTTGATTTGACTTTGGCTGAGCTGCAGCTCATCCAGAGAAAACACCAATAGAGCCAGCCATGTGCTACGACTTCGGGGATTCTCTTTTTCCTCATCTTCCGGGATATGTGCAGGTGATGGTGATCTTGACCATGGAAGATGAGGGTCTGTAAAGACCATGTGTGGCAAGATTGTGTGCTCAACGCTGATGCCAGGCGTCGGGTAGACCGAGTCAATGATCCCCGGGGCGAGCGAGAAGCGCGGAGTGACGGCAATGAAGGACTGTGATGGAGCCTCAATCTTGGACGGTCGGCGGGGTGCCTCTTTGGCGCTGCCAGCTTCCGCCGGAGCTGAGATGCTTTGACCAATTGAGACATTGTGAAGGCCGCCATCTAGAGATGGTGCATAGTAAGAGACGAAGCGAGACTCGCCAGGAGCCAGTTCACGCCCTTTTCCAGTCAGCAAACGCTCGGCATGCCAGTGGACTAGACGGCGGTGCGAGGACGGCATTGTGCTTTGAGGTGAAGAAGCAAGTATAGCAGCCAGACATGGACTTGTTGGGTTTGGAAGAAACCGATTGCCCAAACACAATTGCTGGGCAGCTGAAGATCCTTACACCTATATTCGAGAAGTCCAAAAGCAACCGGGACGGATATGTCACTCGTGGTCTGGTGTTTTGGTGCTGCAACACTGCGGGCCAATATATCGGACACTAGTTGTGAACTATTGAGAGCATTCCAGCCAGACAGAATGCCAAACATGGGGAGCTTGGGAAGACAGGGGAAAAGTAGTCATGAGCAGCCATGTCATCCCAAGCATTTGCCAAACCCCTGTCATGAGATGCATGTTCTCGAACGGCGTCAACTAACTAGTTCGTGCACCCGAGCTTAGCTCAATCCACATCCGCCGGCCACACCTTATATAGATGGCGAGAGCGGAACCCGCTTTCTTCAGCAGTGCTCTTGTACTGTGAGGAAGAAACTGGCTGGCTGAAAGAGAAAGGGGGGACACGAATTCATGATGTTAGAGAAGGCTAAAGGGTGTCGTGGGAAAAATGATGTGAAAACCGAAGATGTCAAACCGCCGTCATCTTCTTTATTAGGAATCTGACAAAGATCCCCAATGGTGATTATCTCTTGAGGATACCCTTCATGGCAGCGCCGTTAACAGCTGCGCCAGCTACGATATTTAATACATATCCAAACCATGACTTCCCATATTTTCTCTCCTCACCCCCGATCTTCATCAAGTGCCCCTCTACAAGAAAATATAGCCCCTCCTCAAACCTCGCCCGAGAGAGGCAGCAATTCGATTATGGGCAAGTCAAATGGGTTGGAGCACTCAGCACGGAAAGCGTTTGGTGGGAGCACGACCATGCGGAAAGCTGTCGCGGTTTGGGGACATGACCCCAGCTCTTCCCAGAGTATCAGCAATTTTATAGAAGGAACAATGAGATGACGAGCTAAGGGGACCCCTGGCAGCTAACGTCATTGGTGACTGTTATCCCATCCCAGTGAACGTGTTTCCAAGTCATGAGGGGCGAATTTAAGAATGCTCGCAATTTGTAGTGCTAGCTTTCGAGCCCATAACTACTTTTGAAAATACCTAGAATGGATGTATTTAGCCAAATCAATATATCAATACATTGGTATCTCCCAGTAAAAGGTCAAGGCATGGTGGATGTGGCTGAAAACGCGGGGTGCACCGCCACACCCAAGCTTAAACTTCCCAGGAAGGACGGCGCATCCAACGGTTGATGCTTCATCTATAACAACATCCAATTCACAACCAACCATGGCGCCGCGAATACCCATGCTGCGCTCAGCGCTGTTCCGCCGTCCTTTTTACCGCACAGCGCGCCCGTACTCGACGAAAACCCCGAATCCTACCGTAAGAACCAGTTCAATCGATCCTCTCCCAGGGCGAAAAGTAGCGTGTGCCGGGGCTAATGTACAATTGCTCGGACGATGCAGAGCCAGTTCTACAAGACGTTTACCCGGCCGATCGCCAAGGTCGTCCTCGGCGCCGTCCTTACATATCAGCTCGTGTACTGGGCCTGGGTGAAACTCGAGACGGACGAGATTATAGCGGACACAGCCGGTAAGCCACGGCCGCCATGCTGGCACCTCTTGAGCCTTGTGCGCAGTTCCCATGTCGCTAACTGGGGGTTCCTCGCTCTTGCAGAAACCATAAAAGATCTAGAACGCAAGGTGGACGAATATAAGAACAAGACTGCGTCCGACAGCAAGGCAAAGGGTTCGTGACGGGCATCTTCACAAATTACACGACCAAAACTGGGAATTGGTGTGAGAGGCGGACTTCCTTCAGACATCTTCATCGACGGGGTTGCTGAATTAGCATAATTGGAGGTCGAAGCACAGTGGGTTTCACTGTTTGTATGATAATTTGCTCTTCAATGGGCCTGTATCACATGATGCCAGATATGAACTGGCAAATGCGGCACACTCAATGTTTGCCAGCGCTCGAAATTAAATATATCGTTACATGCTAGTTTTTTGCATACTCCCGAATAACCTGGTTATGAATGTCCAAAAATGAGAAAAGCAGTATATTCATGCCAACATAAAGGCCCCACAAGATCTGATGAATGATGATCGTGAAGCCCAATTCTAGTGTCGTAAATCCGCTATAAGTATAAGGCAAAGGATACGAGCAGTGAAACAGAGAAAATTCCCAGTGCCTGTGGCTGCAACAAGTGTGCAATACCCAGTTGACCCTGTGATGTGCCAAGAGCGTTGCACGTCAGACCGGTCTTGTCGTCCCAAGCTCGCATGGCGTAGCTCCCGTCAAAGCCTGGATAGTCCCACATTGGACAACCAAACTGAATGGCGGCTGGACAACGCCGTACGACCTCGTAGCAAACTTCGTCGCAAGGCAAAACTTCCTTGTATGGCCCTGGCTTGATATTCTCTTCGATCCACAGGTTTCTCGACATGTTGTGCCATTTGTGCAAACTGCTCAAGTTGTTTCTCTCCGCTTCGTCAACCATTGAGCCATCAGGGAACGGGCTATTGACGTTCCTTATGAGACCCGGGTTGGAGCTGGAATATTCTTCGCATCGGGGGAAGGTGACGGTGCAAAGCCACTCCTTGTATGCCTCTTCGCATGCGTCGCAAGAACTAATGAGCGAGTATCGAGACGAGTTTCCCTCCTCGCAAGGCACCTGCTGCATGACTTTCTTGAAGCTCTCATAGATGCCCTTTGCGTAATCATCATACGCCTGACCTACTTCAGCGTTGCTGGCTGAGCTGTTGCCGGGCACAGCCCAGGAAACGTTGCCGCAAAAGTCAAGGTTGGATACGATTTTGCATGTCGACTCTAGGATCGGCGTTAGCAGGTGTTTTTCGTACATCAAATTTTGCATGTTGGCAAAGCTTACTGTCGGAAGATGTGTCAAATGATAGCTCCCCAAACACAACACCGCCTCCTCCTATCTTTCCATTCCTTGAGTCGTTGCCGGAGTCGTCGTCTCCATTCTGTCTTTTTCCTGTCTTTGTCTCCGACCCAGTGTCCATTTGGACGAGAATCGCTCGGTAAGATGAGCTGGAATTCAACCCTTCGAACCGGAATCGCTGCCTCGGCCCTTCGTATATTCCGGGGGTCATGGACATCGTGACCAAGTCCTCAGTAAAGGACCTGGCTGCGTTCTTCATTCCGCAGATGGACTTTCTCAGTCCATCAAAAAGGATCAGATCCGTGTTTTCCACGAAGAGCTTGTATGGTAACGGGTTCAACTTTTCAAAAGTCTTGTATTCGCTTTTATTAGTCGTCAAGGGGTTGGTTGAGAGAAGTACCCCGCGCGAATCGCTATGCACCAACCTCGAATCCAACGTTGTATTCATGGATCCATCGTAGCTGTGGAAATAGGCATCCGTGGATGCCGCAACCTCGAAATTGTACACACCATCGAAACCCTCGGTCACGTTTGGCGCTGTGAGGGTAATGAAGACGTCACCCTCGGCCTCGATGATCACCGTCGCACTGCCTTCGTCGAACTTGGCCTGATTGGGCTGATTGCTGGTGGGCTGGGAGCAGCCGGTATCACCAGATGTGCTGGCAGCAAGTATCAGCTGTGGTGGCAGGCGATCCTTCGTGTCGTTTTTCGTCTGCGTAGGCTGCAAGCAGGTGTTCGCCGATACGTATATTTTCCGCTTGGCAGCTCGAGGTGCTATAATGTCGGTATCCAAATCCCTTTTGCCATTGCCCGCCGCCGTCGCCGTCGCTGTCGTAGATGTCCCCCCAACCTGCGTAGTCTGGGTTCTCGAGCTGCCGGTAGTGAAGACGTAGCACACAGTTTCCCCCGGGTTCAGGTTCCAAGATTTGACGATGTTGTTCCCCAGCGATTTGAGACCAGATGGCGCTCGGCCGATAATGCTCCGATCGAAGGCCGCGAAATCTGGCTGGTATGCCGGCTCGAATATGTCGGTCTGTTCATCGTCCAGAGGGCCATTCAGGCCCAGATCGAACCCATCGCGGACCGGTAACTCCGTTGCCGATGCAAGTTGTGGCGAGAAAAGAAGGAGGTAGATGGCAAGGAGAAGAAGCGATGCACCCAACGAGGCCGCCAGGCGGGATTGGAGGGGGCTTAAGGCCATCACGAGAGCATACTCTCGGGGTGCTTTTGTGGCTGGTTAGAGGCAACCCTGATGCTGAGTCTCAAACTCTCACCAATCGGAAGCTTCCATTCTAAGATCGAGGGCGTCAAGAAGATACAAGTCGCAAACAGAAGATTCCAATTTTGGGCAAAAGAAAGAAATGCCAAGTTGAACTTGGGGAAGTTGCACAAGACAATTCAGCGGCGATCAATCCCCCCCAGTGTCATCAATCTGTTCAGGGGTCCTAGAGCTGAAGCAGGCACCAGCCACTGAGACAGCACAGCCACAGTTACAGCTGAATCCCTGTGGATGTTCCTGGCACCCACAGCCCCCAAAATAGATCGCTGGAATATATCCATGGGTTAGCCAATATCGTGACATGTTGTAAATCTGTCCTGTGCGAAAAGTAAACATGATGCAGTAACATGTTACAATGTTAAAGTTCATGCCCTGTTTAACCTTAGGGCTGATCGGCAGGATGACTATGTATGCACAACAGCTTGGAGCGGCCCCGGTGTGGAGAGAAACCTAGGAGGGATCGCAAGCAGGGACATTCCTTGGAATGATGGGCACGTAGATAACAAAACATAAGTTGAATTCCATTACTGGTAATGCTACCTCCAACACCACCTCCACCAGAGCATTCATAACATGATTTCATGATCTCGGAAAGCGCCCCTCTGAAATCACACCCACCCATTAAGAAAAAAATGGGACAAAGACGAAATAGAAATGGGAATGCCGAATGACCACACTTTTCTGCTGTAATAGATACTTCCTTCCCTTCATCTAAGTCCAAATTCGACCCCAGACAACGCCAGGAATCATTCGTCGTTCATTGCTCAATTATCGTAGAGATAAGAGCTGGCCCAGCCTGGGATTGTTGAGCTATGTGCGAGCACATCTCACACGCATGTGATCGCATGACCAGGCTAAGCCAAGGAAACCTCGAGACACATTACTCGGTCTTGCTGAATCCCTCGGCCTTGGAGCGCAGGTTGGAAGCGCCGCCGGGCTGGACGAAGTATCGGCTGAAGGTGGGCGCAATGAAGGAGCGGAAGACAATCTGAGCACCACTAGAATCCAGTTAGAAAACAGAGAGGAGGACGCATGCACAGCTCGCGAAAGAAAGACTTACTGGAAGGGAGGCAGAGAGAGCCAGAGCAGGAACACAAACTTGAAGACGAAGTAGAAGGGAAACCAGTAGACGATGTTAACGAAGCTCTCGGCGACAGTGAAGAAAGCGAAAACGACCCAGTACTGCTTCTAGTTAGCGATGGATCGCGACACAGGGCACATGGTCCACCTACGGTAAGCCATTGGGTATCGTCGGCGGTGCCGCGGGAGAAGAGGGCGCCAAGAGAGTAATAACCGGGGATGATAAATCCAGCAAAGTTGGTGAGGAGCTGGCCACCGATGTTGAAGATGACGAGGAAGAAGTAGAGCGCCGCAAGGCCGATGACGCCGTAGGCTTTGGGGACGCCCACCTGCTTCTCGATGTTGTTAAGGGCGGGGTACTTGGAGAGCTATCAAATGGTGCGCTATCAGTAATTTGATCGTTGGCGAAGCTCGGGAGCTCGGTCAAATGGCACAAACCTCCTTGTCGAGCTGCGCAAGATAGTTCTGCGCCTTTTCCTGGGGAGAAGCCATCTTGAAAATAGAAAGCTATGGAAGGTATGTGCGTTGGGCTTCTAAGATTGTGAGCAACCTCGAGATAGCAGTGCGGGGTGTCTGGTGAGCGTACAGTATGTAGCTGCTCCTTGAAGCTAGGGAGCAAGATCAAGGTATGCAAAAACAACGAGAATTGACTCTGTAAAGCGAAGATAGCTTGCGAGTTTTTAGAGGGTGCCGATGATGAATGACGAAGGAAATGGGCACCGGACTGACGTGTGTGTTTTTTCAGGTCTTTGAAACACCGTCATCTCAGTGGGTACTGACGCAGTGTTATGTCAGAGCTTGCCGTTCTGATAGGGAACTACCTGCAGCAGCTCGCTTTCCAGTATCCAAATGCGCAGATACGCAGTACCCCCTAACAGTCTCAGCCCAAAAGGTACAACTCGGTTTGAATGTGCGATGTGGCACTTCCCACGGCAGACTGGTTCGTCAGATCCATCCAGCCCGAAGACAGGTAGATGGTACTAAAAACAGTGACATCAGCCCCCATATTTCACCCGCAGGATGACCATTATCCCAGATGTTGCATGTACCTGGCTATGTCCCTTACAGTGTTTTACTTGCTTGCTCCCGGGGCTTGCATCGAGACCATCGAGGCAGCCATCACGACGGGACTGATAACTAGCCCTGATCTTAGCCCAGACCTTCCGTGCATAGAAAATGCCTTAGCCGCATGTTTCCTTTTTTTGTTTTTCCTGCACATGGCAGTCATGCATGTCTTCTCCTTTTTGAGCCAATCTGGCAGCGGAAGTAATTCTACTGTATCCTGCAAGATTGGGGATGCGAGCTTGCTTGAATCTCCCAGACACGGCGCCCCGTCGGTCAAATAAAACACACCTCGGCGAGCATCGCACCTAAGGACGGGAATCCAGAATGGGTGAGGTTCATCTGGAGCGCACTGGCGCTCATCCAGCGGCTCAGGAATCCCCGCTAATGAGCAACATGCCTGCTTACCTAAGGCACCGCACTGTCGT